CTGCCCTGGTTATGTGAAAATTGGGGAACAAACCCCGGGGGCTGGTTTCGGGAGATACCTAACGCCCCTCGCGTTCCTCGTTCCATCCCCACCGCGGCGAGCGCAGCCCTCCTCGTTTTAACTAGCAAACCCGCTCCCAACTTCTGCAAACAGAGTAAAGGGTCAGGTTCTCCAAACAGACGGAAGCAAGCGTTTGTAATACTGAGGGAGTTTAACCTAGAAATACGCAAGCGAAAGGAAGCGGGGAAAAAGACCCTCACAACCCCCCCCTCCAAAAAAAACCAACCAACCCACCAAACCAGGAGAGAGTTTCCTTATGAGGTCCTGAAATGGTGGGCTGGGAGGCACCTGCTTGCTGGGGCGCTCGGCCGCTCCTCGTCCCACTCCCCAAAAATGCTCCCGCCGTGAAGCGCTGAGACATGAGTCCTGAAAGAGTTTGCCACATATAAAACAATATCTCATTGATTTTATGGTAAATATTGAATATTCACAAAGGCATTTCTTAAAATTCGTGAATTTTAATATCATTTGGAAGAGAAACTAGAAAATTCAGTTCAGATCGTTCCTATGCTGCCAATATCTTATTTGCATCTGACAAAAAAGCACTGAGTTTTATCAAGTATTTGCTAAAAACCATTGCATCAATAAAAAGAGAGAGAGAGAGAGTTTTCTCTTCATGTTTCCTTAGAAAAATTCACTCATGATGTTTGATCTTTAGGATCAGGATATTATTTCAAACCAAAATAATAATTTCCATGCATATTTTTTACCTAAAATAAGGAATAATTCTGAGAAACTTACAAAATAATACCTAATAACTCTAATAAGATGCCATATAGATTCACTGTCAAAACGCTGTTAAGAATCTAAATCTTAATTTAAAAGGCCGATTTTGTTTGATTGATGCAGCAGAAGTAGGTAATTTAGATACCCGGCAGCACTGTAGCTCCGATTCTCTTCTTGCTTCTCTGGAAATATATATTTTTAAGAGCTAAAGAGTACAACAAGGTACTAGATAACTCCAGTCAGCAAATCTCAACTTAATCTGTTTAGTCTTTTTTCTAATGTAAATGTTTGTATTTCTGTTTCTATTGTCTGTGACTTTTAACTCTAGTTTCTTTTCTGGCCTATGTAATTTTTATACTTGTTTCTAATATTGTTATTCACATGTCTTATCGCTGAGGTTGCCTTCAGTGCGATTTGAAAACGATGATTTAAAATATTCGCCCTGTAAGAGACAACTGACCCTGGATTCAGGAAGGTTTTTCATCCCTTAAAATGCTAGCGTGTATTTCCTTAAACCAACACGCAAATATTTGCATCACGGGGAGGTGAGGGTAATGCCCCAATTTTCCCCTTTCCCTTTCTTGTGCCTTTAATATATGTGCATGCATTAAGGTTTTACGGTAACTTTTTAAGAACTGAGTGAGTGCGTTGGGTTCGCAGCTGCTGATCTTGTGAGCCAGCGTGCCTCATGACACAACGCTGTGCAAGGAGAAGACTTCCCGGCTTAAACGTTTCAAGCAGGGACTAATTTATGCCAAGATCAGGGAAATTCTAAAAGCACAGTGCTGAGCATAGCACAGGCCACAGAAACGCATTACGGCACACAGAGGAGAAGAAAAAGCCAAAGTCTGGGCTGCAGAGGAATGGGAAAGAGGAAGTTGAAATAGATACATAAAGAGGGAATTTTGACACAGTGATTTTAACTTTTCATGTGGAAGTGAAAATAAGGGTTATTGGTGACAAATGGAAGAGCACTAAAATGAGAAACACAGCCTCCTATAGAAGGGAAGGCTGTGAAATACCTGAGACTGGAAACCTTTCTCGTATTATGGGAGGTAGCGATGGCTGGGGAATAAGCATCAGAGAGAGACCAAGTAAAGGAGACACTGATCCTGTTTGGAAAGAACAAGTGCAATTAGAAACTAATAGAAATAAGACCAAGCCGTGACAAGTTTCAGCCAATTATAACTGCATGGACATAAGCTAGAAAACACTAAGAGGAAGGAAAAATTTTGAGCTGCAACTGAGAGGACATGATGCAGGACTGCTTCCTCTTAGAATGTGTAAAAGAGGAAATAAAAACTAGCTAGATTATTTTTTTTCTCTTTTTTCTTTTCTTTTAGTGGTAGTCCTGAGGTCCCTACCGTAGACTTAACTGGGGGAACAGCAACGGAATCTAAAAAAAGTATGATAGAGGACCTAATTCAAGCTCTTACTTTTGCCAGCATAAATCAAGAAACACACCAGACATCCATTTGATTGTAGCAGGGTAAAATTGTTTTGAGAATTCAGTCCTGCTCAAGAAGATAAGATAAAATTAAATTTTTCATCATTTAACCAGTGTGAACATTGCAGATACAATTCAGAAAACGTAAGGTTAGAAATCCATATATCTCTCTGCACATTGTATCAAAAATGCAGCAAATCCTGTGTTCCTAAATATTTGTTTGATAGATGCTGGCACCGAGGAGCTACAGCGCAAACATTTCGGACCAGGTGAAAGCCTTTGTCTGAGCCATTGCAGATTTCATTAGTTCAGATCACGATTTCCATCCATCAGGTTGCGGGTGAGGTCTTAAGTCAATGATTTGCTTTCATGCTTCTAAAGGACAAAAAAGAAATTGTTCAGTAAGTTGTGATTAAGCATTCGATTGAGGCCTGCATTTCCATGGACTTACTCTGAATTTATGCTGGGGCAGCTCCGTTCAGAGCGGTGGGAGGAAAAGATAGGGAACTGGTGCAGCTGTGGGGACTCCGTCCCTCTGCGTCCGTGAGACGACTGGCTTGGTTTTGTTTTCTCTTGAATTTTACGTTTCCATTATTGTGCTGACTCTACTGTAGCTTAGAAGTAATGCAACTGATGTAAATCAGACCTGAATTGGTTCCTGTTACTTGAATTTATTTATTACAAATTAAAGAAATATATTTTGGAAAGCTTATTTCATATATTTTTTTGTGTCAGAGTACACGTTATGCTGTGTATTTCAGAGATGCATCAAAGTACAACTTTTCTGTAGCTCTGCAAACTAGGAATGGAAGCGATTCCTATTTTCCCCAAACAGCTTCTTAGTCTACACAGATTTTTGCTGTTGCTGCTTTTTCCTGTTTTATCATGTTACCTGCTGATCTTCCGCACTTCAAATGGAATGTCGCATAAGGAAGCTGAGGCTTCTGCTCCTTGATTTCATAGGTGGTGGCCTTGGGAGATGTGCCCGATGGGACGCTGGTGACGGTGATGGCTGGAAATGATGAAAACTACTCCGCAGAACTCAGAAATGCCACAGCCGCCATGAAAAACCAAGTAGCAAGGTTCAACGACCTCCGATTCGTGGGTAGAAGTGGAAGAGGTATGTGTTTGTTCTCAGCTACGCTTCGGTCACGTTCACCAGTTATGTCGAGTTCTGGTTATGTGGAGAGAATTTGAAGTCGGCGTCTATTGAGTTTTCTGCAGCAGGGAACACTGCAAGATCTGGCGTAGGCCAATTCCAAAGGCACAGAATTAGCTATATGTTTTTTTCCTTGCTTTATCCTAGTCTATCCTCTGTGCCACTTCAATTTTTAAACAGTAAAACCTCATTTGAAAAAACATATCACATAGACAGCGAGTCACATTTTGGCTCTGGAAGCTGTCCCATCAAATTTAGAATGGGACAATATTAGCCATGTTTAAGTTTAAATAGCATAATTTCATTTTAAAATGAGAATTTTCAGCTTGTGTAAAGACTCGTGGCTGTCTCAGGGCTCCCAGGCACTCTCTGCAAAAGCTGGTCTCTGTAACAGAGCAAGTCAATCTAAAATTACGAGTAATTCCTGAATAAATCTAAACATTCTCCAGATTCATCGCGACCTGATGAAGGCACAGGGCACTTTTTCTGACCTTTCTTTCTCTGAAATAGACGTAGAACAATATGCAGTAGTGCTGTCATTTAGTGTGCTCCCACAAAGTAGATAGGATAGACCAGAACAGAAGAGGTGAGCTTAATATCTGACTTGTTGTATCTCTGTAATAACCAGTAGTCAACAGTGTTTAAATAAAAAGGCCCTAGGAGCACAAATAACAAATAAGAGTCGAAGCTGACTTAGACTAGAACTGTATAAAAATGTTGTTAGGAAGCTGCAAATAGTACCTGTCACGTGCAGCTCATGTCGCATGTGAGCGGGCAGGTGTACAAAGCTTGATCCAAAAGCCTGTAAAATGAACAGAAGGACCCTTCGTGACTTCGTTCTTTGGCTCTGGTCCATAATCTTAAATCTCTTAAATTCCAAGCAACTATGTTTACCTTTCTATTACAAGATTATTTTAAGCGCTCCCCTTGCATTGCTGCCCTCGCTGCTGCGAGTGGAGTCCTTTGGAGTGGCTCAGGGCGGGTTCGGTCAAACCCACAGAAGAGAAGCTGGTGAGCTGTCACTCAGAAAAACCTCGAAGAAAAGATCAGCTTCTCTCTTTTAAGGTCGAGAATGAAAAACTGTCGCATCTTCCGTGTGAATTCATATGTTTACTTATGTATTTCTCTTCTGTTTCATTCGTATCTCTAAGTAAAATCAGAGCGTAACATTATGGCATTCTGAACACGACAGTGTTATTTAGGGATGATTCAGTGCTGTGACATTCACAAATCAAAATGATAGTGTCTACTGCGCTGAAATGGGTTTCTGTATGCCACCTTTTTCAGCAATTTGTGTGCTGGTGTCTCGCTGAACCATATTGAGTGCTCTGGGGCTCACTGACCCCTCCTCGCCATTTCCCCCCTTCCCTCTCTCCCCATGTGAGCACCCAAGACGTCTCCTGGTGCGTGGCTGTGTGCATGGCTCTTATGAACATGAAGGGAGTTATGAGCTTCAGGAGAGTTACAAAGGTGACCTGCTTCTGCTTGCTCTCTCTCAAAATGTTTTATTCCAAACGGGAGATGGGTCAGGCTTCAGACCAAGGAAGTTATCCTGATTATACACAACAGCCTTTATTTGCCTTTGAAGTGAAATGCATCTGTAGATATCCTTCCAGTATAAATACAGTCACCAGTTGTGGAAGATCATGGTCCTTTTGAAACACAGATGTAAGCAGTGAATACATTTAATGAATAAGATACCAATCCGATCCCTCTGTATCCTTCAGCATTTTAGCTGAGGATACAGAGGGAGATGACTTTCAAATCGCGTTGTTTGGGCTGTCTTCAAAATGCACTTGGTGGAAAACACCCGCAGCCGAGAATGTAGCTTCATAATGCTAGCAAAGAATAATAATAGGGTAATGCAGAGAAAATTATATCCATTTACTGAAAACATGAGAGATGCTGTAATGTCTGAAAGTATCAGTCATTAAACATGTTCATTTGTTATATTAAAGGTTCCACCTTTTCAGTAAATGGAATTTGCATTCTGATTCAGAGATGACTGTTTAGAAGATTCAAATGAATAGCTGGCAAAGTGGCAGAGAAGCTAATAAAAACAAACCTGTAGTTCAGTTCCTGGCCATGGTAGTGAAGCTAGAAATCATAACAGTGAACTGTGGGAGTCTCAAGGTCAAAATCCGTCGGCTGAGAGAGAACAGTCCCTGTTCATACAGAAGAGCTTGGCAGGGAGCGTGGCTGAGCCCCTTACCATAAGCGGCTGCTGGTAGCCGGTTACTCACGCACGGACATAAACCTTGTACGTCGTGTGATGTTCGGGTGCTTGGGATCCTTTAAGCGATGGAGTGATTTGGGAGCGCTGCTTGCTGTTAGTCAGCCTTGGAGGTTAAATCTCATCACCTCCGTTGGCTGCCCATCTTTGGAGCGAGTGACTAATGTATGCTTTTGTTTACTCCTCGAACAAGGGATTGTTTTCCAAAGGTGGGGATTGTTTGCATTCGGTAAGGGATTTCTGAGGTGCTGTTCTGTTGAATTTGTCTAAAGCCTAAAGCATAAGGTAGCTGCTTCAAAGGGCATTGCTTCCTTTGATACTTTGCTAGAGGAAAATTAACTGAAACTTTGTTTGCTGTGTAATATTTGAGTTTGAATAAGTTCAGTTGCCACCAGTGATAATGCGATGCCAGGGGTATTATGTGAACAGCGATTGAAAGTTCACGTTGGTTACGGTCAGAGTGGACGCTCTTTGCATGTACTTCGGCTGATTTAAAATCCCTGCCGGAGAATACGGAACGGCTTCGACCAGCGACAGTTCCCTGTGCATCAGTTATCGCCCAGGTGTAACCATCCCTGTTAAAAGCCTTGCCAAACCGATGGCGAGCCGCCGCTCTCTCCCTTGTAAGAGAGCAGGAAATTGCCATTCTTGACATTCTTAATAAATAGTTTACATTTTCTTCCCTGGGCTTTAAATGAAATCTAGCAAGACAGTCTGATGGCTGCTTCAAATGTAAGACTCGTCTGCACTTTCCTCTCCGTGAATAAGCAGCTCCACGCTGACTGTGAGGGAGTTGCAGCAATTCCCCCCTTTCGGGGCTCTGATCCCGCCTGTCGGTCAGTGCAGATGCGCCAACCAAATACTGGCCAAAGCTTAAAGAACTGGACTGTCTTTTGGCGTTCGTTTCCTATCTAACAGCAAGCAGTTGCCCCGTGTTGCTCTGCCTGCGCCTGTCGTTCAGAATCGCAAAAAAAAAGAAAAAAAAAAAGGCACTTGATCTTCTTGACACCCAGAATGGGAGCTGAGAATATCACAGCTCACCCGAAACATCGAGATGTTGTATAAAAGCAATTTGGCTCACTTTCCCGAACAAAACAGATTTACATTGGAATTGGCTGGGCTCCAGAGTTACTATTCCTCACCCTAGTTTGAGAATGCTACTGGGAAAACCTGCCCGTCTGGCTTGTAAGCCCAAGTAAGTAATTTCTGGAAGAAAAATGTAGTTTAAAACTTCAGCCAATCTCAGCCCCCTTTGCCTGATTACCTGGTTAAAAAAAAATTAATCTTTATTTCTCTCCCTCTGTTCATAAACACTTCAAACTTCAAAATGCTACTGCTGGAAAGCACCCTGTTTTCTTAATGTATAATGAACTGGTTTAGGTTACTATGATGAAATAAATCTGGTGCAAAAAGCCTGACACCATAGAAGTTCATTGGACAAAATTAAAAATAAATAGTTATTTTGGAGAGAGAAAGCTTCATGGCTCAGTAAGCATTACATATTTTCCTCATGGAATCATTAATCCCAGTAACTATCTTCTTTTTAGAACGTCACGTTAAAGAAAACACCAACAAATAAACATGTTTTCCACATGAAAATAATTATTAATAGGTTATCATAATAGTAGCTAATGGGGAAATGTCTTGGCTTGCTGTGGAAGATCTCAATCTAAAGCTGAAAGCTGGAGCTGGAGCTTTGTGATAGTTTTCCAGCAATGCCTTTTTAAAAACTGCATCTTGGAAAGGGCTGAAAATTAAGCCTACAGATATATATTTCCTACTAGCTATCGGAATTAGAGTCATGAATAAACTGCAAAGGTTTTCAGTTTCCGGAGAGCCAAAGAAGGACTCCTTTTTCACAGGAGTAGCTGATAGGAGAACGTGAGAGAGAGAGATTCCTAAGCATAATCAGAAGTTTCTGCCATCAGGACTCCTCCTTCTGGATATAATTTTGGGGAAAAAAGATCAGTTTAAGCTGGAATCTCAAAAATACTTAAAACCCAGAAATTACTGGCCTGGATTCTGAGCCAAATTATTTTTATTGGTCTTCTGAAGTCAGAATTTTGCTCCTTCTGTGCAGCTTCAGCTTGTGGTTGCATCATTTAAGCACTTTGCTAAATTTTTTTTTATTTTTTACTTAAATGCATTCAAAATTATAAAAGTATGTGCAAAACAGAGAAGGATGCTATTCAACAAGGTCGTAAAATCGGTATTAAGCAGCCGGCCAGGTCCTGGTCCAAACCGTTGGAATGCTTCAGGGGACGCAGTATCAGATACTGGAGTAACAATGAACCGTGCTTGCCAGACGGGCCGAAAATAGAAGAAATCCAACAGCAATCAAAACTGCAAAAAGAGTCAATTGATAGAGTTTAAAAACAACCCCTTATTTATACTTCGGCCTGATAAGTATGCGGCGCTAGCAGGATGCTACGGCCGGCGGGAGGGCGGTCTGGCCGTAGAGAAACGAGCAGCAGCTCCTTTGAGTCATCCTGCAGCCCTGCCATCCTGCCGGGCATGGGCAAGGCTGGCATGGGTGGCCCTTGGGGTGAGGAAGCCGGGCATCCGTGATGCCAAAGGAAGGGTCCGCACTGCTGGTCCTCACCCTGGGTGTGTGTTAGAGGGTCGAGGTTTGTCACAGGACTCTTCTCCTTCCAGTCTGGTCTCAACAGTGAATTTTTCTCTAAAAGACAGCTGCTGGAAGTGGTGATTTTATTTTTAAGTGACTTAG